AAAATTCAAGGGCATGGGGCTTCTTCCATGTCTGAAGGCAGCACTAGGAGAGCCACTTGGAGCTCCTTAGGCCCCCCGGGTGAGCCTCTTACCCCAGTTCTGTGAAGGCCATTCCCAACCGCTGTGCAGGATTGAGGAGAGTGCCCACAATCCTAGGTTTGGGGCCAAGCACACGTGAGTCAGGATTACTAATTCAAAGGCCAATTAGGGTTCCAGAGAGATAGTTCTGGTTTATCCCAGATTATTCTGATGGTTCTGTCGCTTTCAACCCAGGGAAAGGGAAGAGTGGAGTCCTAAGGAAGAGGGAGACAGATCTAGGGGACAAGAGGCTCTGAGAATCGGGCAAACGCACTGAAACAGACTGAAAGGGAACAGAGATGCAGGCTTGCCACAGAGAAGGAGTGGCAAATGTCACAGATAGAGAGACCTGACTCCCGCTAAACCCAGAGGCCAGAACTCTGATGCCCTCCACCCCCTCAGGCATTTTCCTGATGGGAAATGAGGTAAGGCTGGGCTGAGAACCTATGTGTGCTCCTCAGCGTCTTCCCCCTTGGTCCATACTCTCCACAGGACTGATTACATCCACTGACAAAAGTTCCCATGGGCTAGGGTGAGGTGAGCTGGCACTTAAAATAGCATCCAGAGTGGCCTCTTAGAACACAAAAACTCCACTTGGGAGACCAGTGCTCATTAGACCCCCCCCTCCCCAAACACGCCCTGCTGTGTGTGTTTCCAGCCTCTATGCTAGCTTAAGGATCTACTTCAAAGCATACTTCATCTACTACACAAGGAACAATTAAAGAGACAGACGGCTTAGTCCAATGGTTCTCAACCTGTGGGTCACAACCCCCACAGATATCCTGCATATCAGATACTTATGTTACAGTTCCTAACAGTCGCAAAATTACACTCATGAAGTAGTGAAATAATTTTATGGTTGGGGGTCCCCATAGCGTGATGAACCATATTAAAGGGCTGCCGCATTGGGAAGGCTGAGAACCACTGGCTTAGTCCATGGAAGGAGACCAGAGAAGGAAGGTTGAACTCCTCCAAATGCTGTCAGGGCCCCCTGGGTGGAAGGACACCTAGGTGCACCTGCGTTTATCTGGGGGTATTAATAGGTAAAATTAGAAAGTTGATTTTAGCTCATTGGTTTGTGTTTCCAAGTCTAAGTCAACACTAAATTGAATATGCTTCTTTTGATAGGCCAAGTTCCACAATGATTTGGCAATTTACCTATCAAAAATCTAAATCAAGAGGATGGAAGTAGATGGCAACCGGGCCTTGCGTCCTTCAGTTCTGAGATCTTGAGGACACTGTCCTTGGGATGGACTTCTAGCTGTGATCTTATGCGGTTCCCTGACACCTCTAAGGGTGTCTCCTCTGTCTTACTGTAAAGGCCACCAGGGCCCAAAGATGAGTGATTTCCCCAAGGGCATCAGGTCAGAGTGGAGGGGTGCAATGTGGATCTGGACTTCTTTGCTGCATACTCTGCCAAGATACATTCTTGCCTGTCAGTCAAAACTGAGCACCTGGTCCCCAGCACTCTGCTGATAAACGGTTTTGAGCCCCAGGAGGAGGAAATTGTGTCGTTCTCGCCAGTGTGAGTAAAATTGGCCCAGACTTGCAAAGCACAATTTATATGCATTGTGAGTCTCCAAGTGGTTCCTGAGGATCCCCAGCGCTGTTGCTATGTCTCCTGGCCTCCACCACAGGCACGCCGATTCCCCATAAGGAAATCTACTTGCAGCCTGGTGTTAGCTAGTCACCCCAGACAGGCTAGTCACTGTTAGACTATGAGACAGTTCCCTCCAGGACAGAAAGTGATTACAGTGACAGCTGCCACCAGGGACAGAGCCATCTAGTGACGGTGCCTTCCCGAGACATAGAGCCATCCTATGACTCCTGCCGCCTGAGAGATGACACTAGCCCTGTGTCCCTGTGAAAACCCTCCCCTGTCCCTGGGACGCCTCTACCTGAGAATCACAGCAGCTTCTCGTCTCAGACACTGCTCCTCCAGAAGACTGAAGTGCTTGCTCACTCATCAGAAAGACTCAGTCTTCCTGAGTTTTGATTTTCTTGTCAGTTGGAAGAAGGGGGTTACCCCATCTTCTGCTGGGTTTTCTCCTTTCTCTTGAGAGGAAAGACACGCTGCCAAAAATACTTACAAACCACTTCCTCGTGTTTACGGTGGAGAAAAGGTTTATTTATTTTACAATTGCATCGGACCGGTAGCCAGGGACAGTGGTGCTAAGAGGCTAGGGCCTTGTGCCCTCCCTAGGGTGCTGAAGAGTTTTCTGGAAGGATTCCCAGGCTTAGCCCTTGCCTCTGAAACACACACACATCCTGTGTAGCCCGCGGCCCCCTGCCGAGCCTCCCCTGCAGCACCTCCCCTGCCAGGCCATTGAGACAGCACCAGGCCTCACCCTAGGTGCCAAGGCGGCTCCTCACCCAGCCACCACTGCCCCGGGCTTAAGGAGTAGGAACATCACCAATACTCTTGCTTCTCCTCCAGGGACTGGCTGCTCTGTGGAGATGCCCCGTTCAGCCCACATCCCCATCCAGGAGACACCCTGCCCTGCAGAAGAGGAACAGGGACGAAAAGGGCAAGTGTGTGTGTTGGGGTGGAGCGGGGAGGATGGCTTTAAAACCCCAGGCATGCTGCTGTTGTTCAACTCTAACATCTTCTATATTCTTCAGCCAGATAATAAAAGAAACCAGGGTGGAGACCCCTAGCAGGGAGACTGCAAAACAACATGGACATGGATACAGAACCAAGGCTTTCCCACACCATGGCCTTTGAGGTCTTGGCAAAATAGCCCCAGCTGTCAGGTGTGTACTGCTTTTCAGCAAAAGCAAACTTGGTTCAAATTCACTGCCTGACTTGGCCTGGTTCAGGTGATGAAGGACAAGGGAATTCTCCCTAACAGATGCCTTTCCCGGATCCTTAGTGGCCTGGACACAGTCTGCTGTTTTTTTCTGCGTGTGTTCTATGCTAAAGATGTTCTGGGATTTCCAGAGCCAGGAAAGCTAGGGATGCTCCAGAAAGGCATCTGTGGCCATGACCAGAAACTGAGAGCCAGGATGCTGAAGAAGTCTGCTTTGTGAGAAAGTCTGCCCTATGACAGGGTACGGGGACATTTTGTATGTCAGTTGAATGACCTAAGCTCTGGGATAGAGAGGTGCCCAGGAACAGGGCTGATTATAAACAGCATTGCAGAGAATGTGCTCATCGAATAGCTTTTAAAAATTAGTCATACAAATGTGGCTTAAAAAAAACAAAAAAAAACAAAATTCCAGTTTCTCAGTGTGGTGCACATCTTTAATCCCAGCACCTAGAAGGTAGAGGCAGGGGGATCTCTATGAGTTCCAGGCCAGCCAAGGCTACCTAGTGAGATCCGGTCTCAAACAAAAATCACTTCCCTCCCATCTGCTCAAGTCAACTTTTCCACAATGACTCTGGATTGGTTCCGGGTCGTACCTTAGACAGGATGGTTTTCCACCTGCTCTGATGGCAGCCGCATACCGTTCCCAGTGGACCCCAATGCGCAGGCCACATGTCTCCTGCCTCAATACCCATGTCTCCTGATACATGGCACCCCAGGTTCCCCTGGCAGCAAGATAACCATCCAAACTGTATGAGTACATCATGTCTCTCTCTCTCTTCTGGGTCAACTCCTTAAGAATATGCGTAGAGAAGGACAAAACATATCCAGGAACGCCGTCTTGAGGAGAGATTGTGTAGTGGGCTGCTGCAATCAGGACCCTGGTGTTCATGGGGCCCAGGCCTTCCAGAGGCCCAGCAAATGGTTGCCACTCACCCTCAGAAATCCTCCTGCCACAGAAGTGCTCCTGCCTTTTCCCGAACTGAAATTTTCATGACAAGGCCCTGTGAGCGCATAGCCAGTTATCCTCCAGCATATCAGGAGCGAGTCATACTTTGGATTCACTCACACCTTATATCCTAAGTCTGCCTCAAGCTCATCTGGTGTTTTGTGCAGACTGACGGCCCCTGAATAGTGCGGCTATGTGCCCTTTCTAGCCTTCACTAAACCTGAGTTGAACAGGGAGTGGCCTCTACCAGCTCTGTACTCCAGATTCTGGATGTCAAATGTTACAAAGGCCAACATTCTGAAAGAAAAACAACATCACCATTCTTTTTGACACTCTTTTGGGTTGCTAGGGAAAACTAGTCCAAGGCAGATAAAAATAACTTAGGGCCTGAAAGATGGCTCAACAGGTAAAGGCACTTGTTGGCAAGCCTGGTTCCTGAGTTTGATCCCCAAGAACCACATGGTGGAAGCACCGAACACCAACAGCTATCCTCTGAACCCCACACGAATGCCATAACACATGCATGCTCCTGTTGATATAAATTAATTACATGCAATAAAAATTAATTTAAAAAAATTAATAGTTTAAAATGACCAAGATTTTGTATAACTGAGCCTCAAGTCAATAGAAGAAAAAAAGAGATAAAATTGGACACGTTCAGGGTGGTATGGCCAGGAAGGAAGGAAGGAAGGAAGGAAGGAAGGAAGGAAGGAAAAAAAATCTACTACCTAAGCTGGAATTATCCAAACAGTTTTAAAATGCCAAAGACAGGACCAAAAGTGTTTCTTTCACCAAGAGTAAGAAAGGGAGGAAATGGGGAAAATGACAGATGGCAGCCAGGATGAGTCAGGACACCAGTGTGAGAGGGGGGCTGGTCCACTCTATAGTTTCTGGTGAAGGAGATGGTCTTTGACCTTCACATTGTCTTCTGGGGCTGGGAGCTGACTTGCTCTCCTCAAAGCAGCAACAGTGAGCTCATCAAGACCCAAGACAACCGCTGGAGTAGGAGAGAGAGTCTATTCTTCTCTTAGCTCTCATCCATTGTTCCAAAGCCTCCACAGGCAGAACCGACTCGCCCCAGGCCTGGGCGCCATGGTAACAGTCACGTGACCCCCACAAACAGTTCTGCTAGGGCTGTAGGCTCCACCTGCTTCTCTCTGAAGGGAGTCTGGAGTTTGTGATCAGAGATGCAGAGAGTCCCCCGACTGACCACCCCTTGGGCTAATAGGGACCTGCAGAGAGCCTGGGAGAAAACCTACCAGGACCACAGGAAAAAGGTAGGAAGACATGGGCTAGCCTCATGCTGGGCTTTGGGGTGCTGGGCAGAAACCAGGGAAAAAGGACATGAACCAGGAAGATAGAGGCTTTGGGGTACTGGGTTTTGGGGTGCCTGATAAAGACCAGAGAAGCAGGGCACAGGTTCAGATGGTCAGAATGGCAGTTTCTTTTTTTATTAAAAAATTGTTTTATGCATATGAATGTTTGCTTTCATGCATGTCCGTGTGCCCCGTGTGTACCTGGTACCTATGGAGGCCAGAAGAAGGTACCAGCTTCCTTGGAATTGAAGTTACAGACAGTTGTGGGTGCTGGGATTCAAACCCAGATTCTCTGGAAGAGCAGTCAGCATTCTTAACCTGGCTAAGCATCTCTCCGGCCCCAGAATGACAGTTCCTATCGGGGTTCTTCATTGTGTCACAGTGTGTTCTTAGAGTACCCAGTTTCCCCCGAAATCACCTTAGGACAAAGAGCTGTGTGTCTGCTCCTGGTCCACATTGCAGGCACCAGAGGAGAATAAAGTCTGCCTGCCCCTGGAAAGGCAAGAGACAAGGATTATTTCTAACCCAGATGAGGATGCAGATGTTGCTTAAGAATGCCATTAAGTGGGGCTGGAGAGATGGCTCAGAGGTTAAGGGCACTGACTGCTTTTTCCGGAGGAGCCAGGTTCAATTCCCAGCACCCACATGGTGGCTCACAAACATCTGTAATGGGACCTGCTCCCCATTCCCTCCGATGCCCTCTTCTGTCGTGCAGATTACATAAGAATACATGAATAAAATAAATTCCATGAAGGAGCTCTACCTTCCTAGTGGGCACATCTGCTAATGGCATTTCCATCAGTTATGGTGGAAACCCTTGAGGGAGGATGTCCTTGACTCTGGAAACCAGGAATGGGGTGATTCTCTTTACTAATTTTCAGGGGTTGCCCCAGGTACCACATAGACAGTCAATCCTATTTCCTCTGAGCTTTCAGGTGTCACCCTAAGAGGTCAGCTCATTGCCAGGTTCACTTGATGCTCCACCTCCCTGGCCGCAGGAGACCGCCATGGAGCACTCCTCCCAACTCTTTCAAAGGTCTGAGCTAGCTTCCTGACATCTCAAACTTCCTCGCTTCCCTTCTACAAGAAGCATATCGTGGTCTTCTGGTTTCCTGTCCATACCCCCATGCTGCACACACAGCTTCATCACACAGCGCCTGTTCCACCTGCTCTGTTCACGCCTGTTCACTGTGGCATTATCAACCTCTAGTAATTGCTTAGTGATGATATCACACTAAGAAGCCAGAATCATTGACTGTTGTTTCTGTGAGTGATCTTGGAGACCAGCCCTGTGGGAAGTTGTTCTTTTGTATCCCAGGGACTGGCCCAAACCCTTTGAGATAGACAGTCGCCTGAGCTTATGTGTGGGACCAGACTCTACACCTGAGCGTAGTCATAAAACAAAGCTGTTTGGAAATGGTCGCAGTGGAGAAGGCTGAATGAGCAAATGGAACTCAGTGAGGTGGACAGTCGGTTGGGGCCCTGAGGTGTTTGGGAGCATTGACTTGTGGCACAAATACACAATTTTTGAATAATGTGCCAGAAATACCCCAGAAGCCTATGACTGGGGTTTCTGGAGAACCTGATCTGGCTATGACTACCAGCAGAACCAGTAGACGGGGAATCCACAAGTCTGACTCAAAGGTGAAGGTGCTAACACGTGACAGAACAAACCCTGAGTCTCACTGAGAAGGGAGGAAGCGAAGGCAGAGACAAGGACGGGAAGGGAGAGCACGCAAGGTCCAGGGACCAGCCTTGGGCTTTACTGATGGAAAATCTAAAGAAAAGGGGTTGGGATGAAGCACACTAGCTGAGGAAATAACCTCGGAATGGAAACCATGGCGACGGAGGGTGTGGAGAGTTCAGATGCTAAAGAGGTCAGACAGTGGAAGCTAGTGGGACATACCCACAGGCGCAAGATAAGGGAGGGGAGACTGTCAGAGTTGGGGTGTCTATTGCTGTGATAAGACACTATGACCAAAGCAACTCGGAGAAGGAAGGGGTTATCTGGCGCATCCTTCCACATCATAGTCCAACATCACAGGAAGTCAGGACAGGAATTTCAGGCCGGAACGGAAGCAAAGACCACAGGGAAGCATCGCTGACTGGCTTGTTCCCATGACTTTCTCAGCCTGCTTTCTTATACACCTCAAGACCACCTGCCCAAGGACGGCACCGCCCACAGTGGGCAGGCCCTCCCACATCAATCATTAATCAAGAAAATGTTTCACAGTCCTGTCTACAGGCAATCTGATGGAGGCATTTCCTCACCTGAGGCTCCTCTTCCTAGAGATGTCTATGTTTATGTCAAGGTGACAAACAGCACAGGGACAAAGTGTGACTGTGACCCGGATACCAAGGGCCCTGTTAGATGAAGACAGTTATGAGCAGGTGGAAGAAGGGTGACGGGGCGTGGCAAAGGCCAGAGATCCCTCTCTCACACCCCACATTCAACTAGTTTGAAAAAAAAGCCAATCCATGTTCCACGTGAAGAGTAGGGATCTCAGCTTTTCAGGCAGTTAGAGCTATATTGAGATTCTCTGAAAACACAGAGAGTTTGATAAAACAGAGAAAAGAGAACGGAGTACCCCAGTCACCTCTGACACCCCAGGGCCACCTCTAGAGTCTCAGTAGTTACTTTAGGAGCTGAGTGCCCGTTCCAACTCGCTCCCACTCTTCCGCAAGCGCCTCTATAGCGCACACATCCTTCTGTCTGCTGCTTCTTTTGGAAATGCGACTTTCTCCTTCCCCGTCTGCCGGGCATCCGCTGCTGATGGAAGGGTCTGCAGATCTGAAGATGCACCGATAAAGCCTGCACTGATCTGTTCTTTCCCGGACTAGACAACTTATAAACAGCAGGCATTTATTTCTTACAGTTCAAGAGACCACATGTCCAAGATATTCAAAGATCTGGATGACTCAGTGTTTGCAAAGAGTGGCTTCCAAGATGACAGCCTTAATGGGGCAGGTGGATTGCTGATGGCTGTTTTATAAGGGCTTTCATTTCATTCACGAGAAAAGAAACATCATGACTTAATCACTTCCCCCAAAGGCTCCGCTTCTTAATACCACCACGGGGAGGATTAAGCTTCAGCATGAATCATGGGCGATCACAGAGGCAAACCATAGCAACCTTCGAAACTGAAATAAAAAAGAACCAACGCCTAACAAAAAAAAAAAAAAAGAAAGAAAGAAAGAAAAGAAAGAAAAATGAAAACAAACCTGAATATCCAAACACAGTGGTACGAGTACAGAGGTGTAACGTGCCAGTAGCAAAAACAACAAAGGGAGAAGAAAGGAAGGAGATCTATAAGAAGGAATAATAAGGGGCAGTGTCCCCCACATCCAGACACTACAGCAGAGATCCAAGGAGCCCAGAAAATGCCATAAAGCAATCTCAAATACACATAGGCATGCATATTATATTTGAACCTCAGAAAAATAAAAAGTAAGAAACAATCTAAGGTGTTCGATGGATGTCCCGGCGGATAAAGCACATTCTGCTATGATGGCCTGAATTTAATTCTTGGGACCTACATAATGGAAGAAGAGAACCAACTGTCATGTGTCCTCTGACAAGCTGTGGACTGTGTTCATGCATGCAAACAGACACAAATATGTCATAAGAGATTAATTAAATACAGAGAGTCACAGTGGCTTAGACTGTGTAGGTCTTCAGTGATACAGGAGCAGGGGAAGTAATAGGATTTAGTTGTAGTAAGGTAGTGCACTACCCATGATTCATGGGAAAGTTATTTGAATTAATATTAATATTAATCCTCCCTGTGATGGTAGTAAGTTGACTGGGATGGTTGCAAATGTATGTCACAAACTCCATAAAAAATAGTCTTTAAAATGTCTAACTGGTGTAGCTGGAAAGTTGTGTCAGTGGTTAAGAGCACTGGCTACTCTTGCAAAAGGAGGACTTGGGTTAGGCTCCCAGCACCCACGTGGAGGCACACGTCCAATTCTAAAGGATCTGGTGGCCTCTTCTGGCCTCCTCGGGCACCAGATACACATGCAGTACACATATATACAGGCAAACTACTTGTACAAATAACATAAAATTAATATTTTTAAAAGATTTTTTTATTTATTATACATACAGTGTCCTGCATGCATGCATGTTTGCAGGCCAGAAGAGGGCACAAGGTCTCATTACAGATGGTTGTGAGCCACCATGTGGTCGCTGGGAATTGAACTCAGGACCTCTGAAGAACAGCCATTGCTCTTAAACGCAGAGCCATCTCTCCAGTCCTAAAATTAACATTTTTAAATTTCAAATAAAACGAGAAAAGGCAGAAAACTAGTAGAAAACAAAAAAGGAGCAATGGACAAGGCCAATGGATGGAACATAGCAGCAAATGTTACAGACGTGACTGCTACTGGATGGTCACATGCCTTGTATGTCTGTAGTCTAAACGCAACAAGCAAGTGACAGAGATTGGAAGCCAGGAGAGCCTCCTCAGGTAAAGGTTCTGGTCACCAAGCCCCATGACCTGAGTTTGATTTTCTGGAACTCACATGATACAAGGAAAGAACCAACTTCTGCAAATTGCCCTCTGGCCTCCACACACACGTGACAGCATGTACACTCATGCATGTGTTATAACGTGTCCACCCCAACACACAATAATGGATGAATGTTTTTGAAAAAGGCAAATTATCAAAGTGGATCAAAAATATATTTAAATACATATGGGTATGTGTGTGTATGTTGATCATAAGTAGTTCACGTTAGTCTAAAGATACATAGACAACGAATAAATGGAAAAGAATACACCATGTTAACACTCATTAAAAGGAAGCAAAAATAACCGTTTTTAATCTTCGGCAGAGCAGACTTCAAAACAAGGAGTGTTATCAGGGATGAGAAAATCAGTGTATGATTACAACGGGGTCAGCCCTTCCAAAGGACAGCAGTCCTCGACATGTTTGCTGCTAACAGTAGCGTCAAGTCC